GTGTGTGTGTGTGTGTGTGTGTGTGACAGCTGGGCATGGTGGCGCACACCTGTAATCCCAATGGCTTGGGAGACTGAAGCAAAAGGACTGCAAATTCAAAGCCAGCCTCAGCAACTTATTGAGGCCCTAAACAACTCAGTGATATCCTGTCTCAAAACAAAATATTAAAAAGGATTGGGGATATACACTTTGGCACCAAAACAAAACCAAATAAAACAAAAAACTAGAACAGTGATAAAACCAGTCCGAAGATACTTTTTAAAAATTCTTATTAGGTTTTCAATCTAATTACCAGATAAAAACAGTTCATTCGATATTTTTAAATGAATGTTGGACTTGGTTAGCGATTATATTTTTTCCCATTTATATTTATAAATGCAATGGGTCTGTCCTTTCCTTTTCTTGTATTGCCCTTGTGGATTTGGTAGAATTCATCCACATAGCTGTTCATCAGCCACTCACTTTTGTGGTCACATGGAATCTGTGTTCTTCTAGACAGTCAACTGAGCAGAGAATACATTTTAAAGGGAGACGTCTTTGATTATCACTTCAACTTATTTACTGGTGAATGGCTTATTTATCTTTTCTGTTTCTTCTGGGCAGTTTACATATCTCAATAAGCTTATTCATTTCCAAATAAAATCCAGTTTATTCTGAAAGGGATGTTTGGCTTTTAAAGAAAGGAATGTATTGCTTATTAGGTTAATCTGTAATTCTTGGCTTGGCTTTGAATCAACATGTACAAGTGGCTGGTTGAGATCCAGGTCCACTGGAGGCAACTCGGATTTGGAATTGGGTTGGCAATCACCTTTAAGAGGTTCTAAATATTGAATAGTCTCTTCCTATCATCAACAAACCTCTAATTCAGGCCTTGGTTTGTGTTTGTGACTTCATATTAGACTTCAAATCTATTTGAAGTTACTTTGGGGCTTCCACACCAAAAATTCGCATAACATTTTTCAGCCTGCTGTTTGTCTCATCTAAACACTGTGTGCCCCCTGCCCTCAGCTGAATTCCTCTTTTTCTTATATTTCTCCACTCCATCTTATACAGGGGGTTCTTAATATAGAGTCCAGGATAAGCTACAGGGAGAGGATGGGATATCCCTAAAACTATTCTTGTGTTTATATTTGACATTCTCAGGGAAATAGTGCATAACTTTCTTTAGATTCTCAGAGTGTATACAACTCAAGCATGTTTAATTACCACTGTTTCAAAATGTTTGTTCTACTGTTGGATGAATCACAATTTGTCTTTCACTAACTTGCAGAACTTTCTCTTAGACTATTTGATGTTCTCTGGGAGGAATCCACCTCCCCCCGCCATAGCCATCCAGGGAGGAAGCTATTCAGTCTGTACAACTCCCCTGTATCAGGTTGAGAGACAGACTGGGCATTCCTCTCTCTTCCTAATGGCCTGTCTAGATGGCTGTTTCTTCCCTATAGGCAGAAGCCCTGCTCTTCTCAGTTACTCCATCCAACTCGGACATTGTGAGGAATTCTCTCTGGAGGCTCTGGAGCCTGGTGCACAGCCCTTTCCACCTCTTATCCATGCACAGTTCCCAGACTTCCCCAAAGTCACTGACTTTCATCTTCTTTATTTATCAGCTGCTTGCTCTGGTGGATCACACAGATCCTGTGCTCACCCAGAGATACACTGCCTCTGGAAACATAAACCTGGCAATGCTATGTGCTGAACACACCTTCCCATCCTTGCTCTCCCTCCCTAACGTGTTTCTCTTCAGCCTCATCAAGAACCTGAGCCAAGGGCATCACTCAGTAGTAGAGCGCCTGCCTAGCACATGTGAGCCCCAGGGTTTGGTCTCCAGCATGCCCCTCAAAACCCTCCAGTCCTTTTATCCCAACTTTCATTTCTCACACCTTAAATCATCAATCCTCCCCTGTCTTATCTTTCTTATTTACATTGGGTACATGGACCATCACATCAAATGTTACCTTTCCAATAACCTCAACATGCTTCTCATTCTAGCTTCCATTTCACCCTTTTGCCAAGACTGCAATTTGGGGTTCCTTTAGCTTTTTGTCATTTCTGATTTTATATTACCAAACATTGCTAGAGCAAATAGTGCATTTTCACACTGGTACTTCTGCAAATGTATGGTCTCCAGTCTCCATTGGGAACTCAAATGTTGCTGGTCAACCTGCTGTTTTCTTAAACACCAGTGGGGATTTCAAAGCCTTGTATTAGAGTGATCCTTCTACAGCTTAATCTGATTATAGTCCACCTCAGGCTTAACCTTTCCATGACCCTCCACTGCCTTCAGAAGTTTGTGCAGGTCTCTCGGTATGGCCCACACAGCCCATCGCCTGGCACCTTCCTCACCACTACTCCTAGTCCTCCAGGTTACAACTCTTCTAAGCTGTGTCTCCTCCTAGTAGACCACATACACCTTGAAAACAGGGAGCCTCAGTTTCTCTCTGGGCATAAGTATGCTTTCCTGAAAGTCAAAGAGATCAAAGTTTGGTTGCATTCTGAACTACAATGCTGATAAGACAAATACTGGTTTATTGTTTCACAATTTTATTCAAAACAGAGAGCAGGCGTCTGTGTAACTCCACTAATATTAAAAGCGAATATGGGTTTTGAAGTAAAGACTGAATAACATTTTTGTTCCTTATAAGAATGTTTTTTTCCTACGGGGATAGGTAATTGAAGATTAGCCATACAATGAGCTATCCTGGAGAAGTTTAATCATTCGATGATCAGTGCAAAGAATATAAGCTTAAGGCAAAGAATATAAGCTCAGTTCAAATATTTTTTATAGAATCCATAAATATGTAACCTGGCATAAAAATACATGGAAAGGGGAATAAATTTTTACCATTTTATGCATTTTTTACTTTGCTAGTATAAAGTAAGTGCATGTGGAAAGAAAATCAACTCTTTATTTTGTAGTTGAATTTGCACAATAGAAAGCACAGATGTCCTTTTAATTTCCTTTCCTTTTTTTGCAGTACTGGTAATTGAACCCAGGGCCTCGTGCACACTAGCCAGTGATCTACCACTGAGCTACATCCCCAGCCCTACAGATGTCCTTTCTAATTCCTTGCTGCAGTAGACATATGTTGTTTTTGACTCCCCAGCATTTATTCCTCCTTCATTTGGTGATAACATTCTGGTTTTCCATTAGAGAACCACTTCTTTACCATTTTCGTTCATATTGTACAAGTGGCCGTGATCCAGTTCTGCCCAAATTCAAGACCCTGGCACATTACCCAGACGTGGCCAACCAACCTCATAACCTCATGCCTACGGGTCCTGGATAAAGAGACTCAAATCAGGTCAGTTTTTTTTTGGTTTTTTTTTTTTTTTTTTTTGTGGTGCTAGTGATTGAATCCAGAGCCCTGTGGATGTGAGGCAAACACTCTACCAACTGAGCTATATCCCTTGCCCTCTCTCAGTTCTTAATAGAGCAACTGGGAAAATAGTTTCTTCTTATGGGACAGCAGGCTGGTAAAATGTAAGCCTGAAATAATTCCTAGTTATCTTTGTTACCACATGGGTAGGGCCTTTGAGAACAAAACCAATAGAGGGAAATAGAACCCAGAGGTGGAAAAAGCCATAATCGTCACTGGAGTACCAAAGTCTAGTCAAGACAGAAGAAGACCTGTCCTGAACTTTTTCACTTCCAAGAGCCAACAAATTCTACTTTTTTTTCCCCCTGAAGTCTGTTTAAGGCAGGATTCTGCGACCTATAACTGAAAAAGCACTGAGCAACACAAATATATTTATTAAGTCTTGCACTTACAGTCTGACCTCCTGTTACAGAAGCTGAGCGGGACTGAAGGTCCTGGAGGGCTGAAACACTCTCTGGCAGTTCCTGAGAACTGTCTTGACTGAAGTGAGAAAACTTTGCTCTTACCTCATTTTTCATCTCTGAACCTAATGTAGGTATGTCTACAATGTCATTATCTTAAAAAATAGGAGAATGGACATGGTACTCACCGGGCCACTCCCTGCCGTGAGATTCTGGAGAGCTCCTAAGGATGCTTCCTGTGTGTAATTTCGGATGCTCTTGGCAATCAAGGACAAATACATCCTTATCACAATGGAATGCCACAGCCACTCCACACCCTTGGGGTTGCTCTTTTCCTCTGGCATTGGCACATCCTGGTATTGCTAACCACACACACAAGGGAATCCAGAATTAATGCACTTCAAGAGATGTCTGCATTCTACACACAAGCCAACAGACCAGAAATACTGTGTAGAAATACTAACAATTTGCATAAGAAGACCCTAAAATAGAAATTTAAAAAGCAAATATGTATGATTTCTAATTACTTAACTCTTAGCTCACAGTAACTATTTCTTCCTACACCACCCCGCACTCCCCAATCTGATATTTCACAGCGAGGGGACAATTAAGAGAATTAGGCACAGGTCCTTCTAGAATGGTTTTCAGGCTGCTTTTAAGCTAAGAGCTAAATTGGTCAAAATCACTCTAAAGATAAGAAAAACATCCAGGATTGTGTCAGGGTTCTAAATGTACCATTTGTTCTCCAAGTTCACAAATGTCAAAGAGGAGCAGGGCAGATCCCATTTTTTCAGTTTTCGTGTCAATATGGAAATACATATGTATTTTTTTTCCTATGAGGTTTGATTTTAGTGTGTCTCAAGTTTTTTTTTTTTTTCAAAATTCCCAAAGCCAAATATCAGGGCTGCTTTTAATGTTTAATCAACATACGTACTTCTATTTGTACTGCACTAAAGTTACTTCCTAACCTACAAGGTGTACAGCAGTATGATTTAGAGGCTCACAGTGCACTTCTGAAGTCAGATTGTTGGGAATTCAATTTTATTCCCTCCACTTATTTGCTGAATTAATCTGGGAAAATTAATAAACTTTTCTTTCCTTTTCTGTTTCCTCCCTGGAAAACGAAGATACTAATAATACACACCTCATAGGATTGATATGAGGATTAAAAGACCTTAAAATAAAATAGTGCTTAACATATATTAATTGCTCAGAAACACACACACACACACACACACACACACACACACACACACACACACACACACACACACACATACATTCTCATTTTGGTCTCCCTGCTTCTCTCTGCCCAGGACCTCCCAACATACCTCTTTTACTTTCCTGCTTCGACTGCCAAAACACCCAATACTTTTGTTGTTGTCAGTCTGGATATTCCGGTTTTGAATATAGATACTCTGGGAATACTTCTCTGGGAGTTCTGCCTCCAGCTGGTAGGAGAGGTTATGAAGAATGCACACACAATTCTCTGTTGCCTGAGGAAAAAAGGATATGAATATTGTTCACATGCATATAGATATCCTTTGAGTGCAATTTCCCAGGGCTTCATCTCTTACAAGGCTTATTTGATGCAACTGGGTATGCTTGGATGGGCCAGGGCCAGGGGAGGGACATCTGGGTAAAGGGAATGACTGATTATGGCTGGAAAGGCTAAGTTTAGATCATAAATGATCATGAGTACAACAATGAAAATATGGAAGCTGGATTTCTTAAAACAATGGGGAAGCTTCCCAGTTTACTTTTTCTTTGTTCTCTAGAGGTGCTGGGGACACAGACCATGTCCTCCTGCATGCGAGGTAGATGCTCTACCACTGAACTACTTCCCTAGCCCTCTAGTTTACTTGTTGGAGTGTATCTAGAACAATTTTATATTTTAGGTACATAACTTAGTAGCCACGCTGAGTTGGATAACAGGAAGTGATATTATTTATAGGGGCCAATTAAGAGACTATTGCAACAACCAGAAAGAAAGATGCATACTCGACAGCAATGCTAGCACAGAGAAGAGTGGATGAATTAAAAGACTTCAGAGGTAGAATGTGATATGTTGCCCAGTGGGTATGGGATGTGAAACAAGGGAGGCTGTCCAAGATTATTGAGATTACTGTCTTTTTGGAGGGTGAAAAGTGATAATTATTAAGGATTATACAGAGAAGGATCAAATGAGGGGCAAAGGGAAGAGATGAATTTAAGTTTAATGCTGAACATTTAGTATTTGGACACCTATGAAACATCCACATTTAGGTGTTAAACAGATAATTGGAAATTTGGGCCTGAAAAATAAATAATAAGACTAGATAGGTTTTATTATTTCTAAGCATGTATGGAAAATCTAAGACTTAGCAAACAAGTCAGTGAATAAATCTAAACTCGTGCAGCTATTCTAAGAATATTCTGAAGCATCTTGGTAAGTCATAACAGGTGATTCAACACATGAGCTACATTACCTTGTCATCCGGCTGGTAATCTGCAATGGTTCCTCTGACATAATGGACCAGAGAGTCAATGAGTCCATCACACCTTCTCATCACTTTCCTCCCATCAGGGCCAGCTGAGCTCATGTTTCTATTAAGACAAATAAACAAGAAACCCTACGTCTTAGGCCATGCATCCCACAGGCATTTACTTTGAAGCTTTACTTGATGCTTCTTCCAGTGTTTTGAAATGCCAAATTTGTATAAATTTGACAGTTGTCCTGAGACCAATAAATTATCAACTGCCTAATGGCTGTCATAACTGAACACAATTTCTCAACATATCCAGACAACACAGAATAACATCAATGCATTTTCTATCTACTTCACTTCAAGTACCAAGGTCAAAGCATTATTTACTTAATCTTCACCCCATTTTGAGAGGGTAGAAATGAGGCAATTAAAAGAACAAATGGCAGATTGGGAGACTATCTTTACCACATGTACCTCTGATAAAGCATTAATCTCCAGGATATATAAAGAACTCAAAAAACTTAACACCAATAAATAAATTAATAAATAAATAATAATTTTAAAAAAAACACCCCTAAATAACCCAGTCAATAAATGGGCTAAGGGACTTAACAGACATTTCACAGAAGAAGAAATACAATTGATCAATAAATATATGGAAAAAGTGTCCAATATCTCGAGCAATTAGAGAAATTCAAATCAAAACTACTCTAAGATTTTATCTCACTCCTGTCAGAATGGCAATCTTCAAGAATACAGGCAACAATAAATGTTGGTGAGGATGTGGGGGAAAAGGAACTCTTATACATTGCTAGTGGGACTGCAAATTTGTGAAAGCACTATGGAAAGCAGTATGGAGATTCCTCAGAAATCTGGGAATGGACCCACCATTTGATCCAACTATCCCACTCATTGGTTTATACCCAAAGGACTTAAAATCAGCATACTATAGTCATGCAGTCACATCAATGTTTATAGCAGCTCAATTCACAATAGCTAGACCATGGAATCAACCTAGGTATCCCTCAATAGATGAATGGATAAAGAAAATGTAAAATATATACTCAATGGAATATTACTCAGCTTTCAAGAAGAGTGAAACTATGGCATTTACCAGTAAATGGTTGCAATTGGAGAATATCATGCTAAGTGAAATAAGCCAATACCACAAAACCAAAGGCCAAATGTTTTCTCTAATACGCGAATGCTAATTCACAATAAAGTGGGGGGACACTAGGGAAAAATAGCGTTACCTTAGATTAGGTAGAGGGAAGTGATGGGAGGGGAGTGGAGGGGATATGGGGATAGGAAAGACAGACATTATTACTATATGTATATATGTGACTGTATAACCAATATGATTCTGTAACATGTACACTCAGAAAAATGAGAAACTATATTCATCTATGTATGAAATATCAAAGTGCATAAATACATTCTACTGTTATATATAACTAATTAAAACAAATTTATAAAAAAATAGAACAATATGGCACATTAGAGATAGCAATACACAGGCTGCTTGAGTTCCAGTGTGTTCCACATCTCAATTTTAAAGCAACCGTATCAGTAGGTATGAGGATAAACAAATTTTGATAAATATTAAACAAACTGCTTTAAAATGTGATGATCACATAACTAAAAATGTAGAGAGATGTCAGAGAAAACAGTTTCCAATGTGTAGGACCCGAGTCAAAAGCATGACCTATAAATATCTTCACACTTAGCCTATTTCTAATTTTGCTAAGCATGACACCCTTCTATAAACAGTAACCAAGTCTACAAGTTGAGGTTGCTTCCTTATAGAGAAATGAAGCTTATCGAAAACAGCAAAGTAATGCATTTGGGGATTACATTACAGATGCAGACCGTGTGATTTCAAAAAGCCTTTCTGCCCTCAAATACTGCTTTTAAAGAAATAAATATGCCCAGCATTATATAAGAACTAAAGGAAATGGGGATCCCAGAGAGATCTCCTCTGTAAGTTGAATTCTGTGAAACTAACAATTCTTGATGGCTGTTTTTAACCCACAAAAATGGCAATCTCATGACTCAATAGTTGAGGAGATAAGTCTAGTACACTGAAAACTTAGAATATACTAATCATTTAAAGTTGTTAAATTGATATAAGGAAAAATATTTTTTTGGTACTGAGGATTGAACTCAGGGGCACTCAACCACTGAGCTATAGCCCTGACCCTAGTGTGTTATACTTCATTTAGAGACAAAGTTTCACTGAGTTGCTTAGTTCCTAGCCATTGCTAAGGCTGGCTTTGAACTCGAGATCCTCCTGCCTCAGCCTTCCAAGCCTCTGGAATTATAGGTGTACACCACCATACCTGGTGATATAACGAAATTTTTAATTTTAACAAAATCCTTTCTGTGATTTTGGTTCTCATGTGATTTTTCTAATTAAAGATTCACTTCCTTATTTATTTATTTTGTGTTGTACTAAGGACCAAAGCCAGGCACTTGCACATGCTCAGCAAAGTGAAATAAGCCAATCTCACAAAACCAAAATGCTCTGCCACTGAGCTACATCCCCAAACCCCTTAAATTTTGTTGTATTTGAAGAAGTCTGACACCTTGTCAATGAAACAAAACAAAACAAAACAAAACACAGAAAATGAGTTTGTTGACTGGAAATAAAATGAATTTTTATGGTAGCTTTTTGTTAAGAAATGATCATTTAAACCAATATTGCTTTAAGTGCTCTCTTGGAGTCCTTTAAGAATGATGGAAACTTAAGAAACTTGACAGAAATTGAAAAAGCACATTTTCTGCCTCCCAGTTTTACACATAAAAGAAAATGTACTCCAAAGAGTTTAAGTTACTTGTCCTGGTGACAGCAAATTAGTGGTAAAATTGGGATAGGAGGGCTATTCTTCATTCTGTGCTCAGGGTGGTCCCAGAAGAGCAAACCTCATCTCATTTTCATTCAGCTCTGTCATTTGTTCAGCCAATACTGTATGCCCCCAACCACGAGAAAATGTTATTATATGCTTTAAAGTCTCTCTTTGACCTTTTAACCTTTGGCTTGGAGAAATGGCAGTAGTTTGAAATTGCTTTGACAAATCAAAAAGTCTATCTTGTTCATCAGCTAAGCCCAATACATACCTTGCAGATGGGCGACTGAGCTTTGTTTAACTTCAGGGTGTTTATTTTGGGTCAGAATGGTAATTCAATTTGGCAGTACTAGCAGTTCACACGTACTAACTGTTGTCTTGTAGCCTGGTATTATCCAGACTCTACTTCTTGAAATGGGACTTATCAGGGGTTTCTGGCAGTTGATAACTTTGCTGACAGAAAGTTCACGGAACCCCGTTGCTTCAGTGTTCGCGGCTGCATATTAAAAATAGTTCCCACCTTACTCAACTACCAAATATGAAAGATAACTGCAGATTTTTTCGTACCTCTTAACCCATTAATAGAAGTCATTAGACAGAAAGTAATTTGTTATTGTACCAGTCTGAGAAAAACCAATAACTGTAGAAAATGATCTCTTTCTAAAAGTATTTTTCAAGAACTAATCCTTAAATCTATGGGAATCAGAGAATTAATATGGCTAGTCAGAATTGATCCTTTAAAAATGTGTCCCCTGAGTCCTGAAAAATATTTATTACTGTTTCTTATATGTAATCCAATGGAGGCTAAATATAAAAAAGATCTCAGACTTATAAATGAAATATACCAAAACGTTCATCTTATTGAAAAAGAAAAGAGAATGAGTCTCTAAACACAGCAGTTACTTGATAATGATTACCAGTTACTAATATAACATATGGAAAATAATCAATTTAGTGTCCGTGGTTTAAATTTGGCTAAATTATGGGCTCATTTTTCCTGGTATACTATAGCTTAAGTTTGAGAAATATGTGGGTACCTTTAAGGAAGCATAAGCTATGTATTGTGGCTACTCAATTTTAAAAAACAGGTCTTTATCTTGGGGGCTGCAAGGTTGGGGCCAGAGCCTTAAGGAGACGGGGGAAGTGATAAAGGAGATGAACCCTTCACAGAAAGGCAGGGCTTTTGGATTTCTTTATCTCACCAGGCTCAGAGGGGGCATCAGCTTAACCTGCAGCCAGTGTGTGATACCAGAGAGAATTTTTCTGGCAATGTGATTTGTATTGGGGGTGGGGGAGACAAAATTTGAACCTTTGTATGTCTCTAAGAGGTCACAGACTTCAGGTGTCTTATCTATAGCAACTCTGTGACTCTTGACCCTCTCTAAGACCACTTATCTCACACATTCCTGAGTGTCACAATGAAAAACAGAAAAGAAAACAACACATCAGGGACCTTGCTATTATTCAAAGGAAGAATGGTATGTGTCTGTTAAGGTTAATGAAACCTTAAGTTCATATGGTAAATTAAAGAACAGGCCATGTCAAATGGTAATACTAGCTGCTATTCACTGTGCATGTTAGACATTATAGTAGGCAACTTAACGATAATCTATAATTTTCCAAAATCTTCAAAATTAGGGTACCCAAGGATTTCATTCAGAACTCAGACCTGTGACCAGCATTTAAAATCAGAACTGACTGCTTCTAACAGGATTTCTACTGGCCTTTCCAAACTAGGTCTCTGTGTGTGGCTGTGTACAGGTACGTTATCAAATATGCCTCATTTTCCAGCTTTGGAAAGAAGTTTGTTATAACACAGAATATCCAAGCTCATTGTCTAATGTGTATTCAAGTGACCTGGGAAAATGATGAGCCTACAGGAAATGTTTATAGTACAAGATTACAGCTCTACAGTTAGTTACCAGGACACGAGAATGGCAGAAAATAAAAGGTCGATGTGCACTTTTTCAAGACACTTCACCAAGAAAATATAATTTGAATTGGCAGAAATTTCTCTTTTAAGTAGGGCTGCTCCTATTTGACAGTGATTTCTTACTGATCCACAATGTATTTGTATATTATATACAAGACCTTGTGGCTATGGTACCAGTTCAGCCTACTGAGATAGTGGCCACCTCCGTGGTTTCAAAAAATTGTAGATGCAGATTTGTGTTCACCAATCACAGGCTTCCTAATACCATGTTATAAATGGTGCAGTAAGGCTCCAAGTAGTCCCGGTCCATTAAGTGCTTGACAGGCAGACTCGGAGTCC